AAATCATCCCTGGCACCACCACAGCTTCCACTCCCACACTCAGGAGACCCTTTCTCCTCCCTGGAATCACTGACAACCCCAGAGAGAACCCTGGGAAGGAGGAGAGCACTACACCTGTGCCGCCAGATGGGCCCTGGGGCTGCATCCGCTGCTGGAAATTTGGCTCTGGGAAAGAAACTGTGGATAAATTCCTCAGGATTTCCTGCATAAGCCTCAGCCTTGAGGCTTTCAAGGCCTTGTGCTGTTTTAGCTCCAGCCAAAGTGAATTATTTTTGGAGTCAGGAGCCTGTCTGGAATGGGAAGGCCCAAGCGAGTCCCACTGTCCCTCACACCTGGCAGGTGAGGATTAGCCTGAAATCCTGGTCAAAAAGCATTAGTTGCTTCAATTTCATGGGGTTTTGAGCCAAATCTCAACTCCAAGCAAACTCTCCCCCTGGAGAGCACCATGGCTGGAAAGGCTGGCACAATCCCACTGCAAATCAGTGCTGAAAGCACCAGTTGGAGCCCAAAGCTCCACGGGTGGTTGGGAGGAGGTGACACCACCTCAGAGTGGGTTTGGACCATAAGGAACACAGAAAAGGGAACAGAAGAGCCTCCTCATCTCTTCCCATAGAGCCACCAGGGGCTGTGGGCCGAGTGCTTGGTGATGGTTTGCTTCTCCTCTGGGCTGAAGTGCAGGATGGTGAGGATGGCCGAGAGGGTTTGCTGCCGGCCCAGCGCATCGGGCAGCGTCAGGAACCGGAACACGATGTTCTTCAGGTACTCCAGGTTGGCTCCCTCCCTGCTCCTGTCCCGGAAGTTCTTCTGGATTTCACTCTGCAGGGACAACACCTCCTCCCTGTGCTTCTCCTCCTCGGCCAGGACCTTCTCCTGGAGCTGGTGGAGCTGCCCCTCCAGCGTGTGCTTGTGCTTGCGCAGCGCCGTGATCTCCACCTCCTTGCGCGCCAGCTGCTCCGCGTACAGGAAGAAGGTCGGCTCGGAGCTGGAGCACAGACGGAGAACCTCCAGGGACTCCTGGCCTGGGGGGTCACCCTGGGTGACCTCCAGGGAGTTCTTGGAGCCTTGGAGCCCGTGGGGCAGCATGAGGGCCCTGAGCTGCTCCAGCTCCTGGTCCTTCTCGGCCAGCACGGCCAGGGCCCTGTCGCGCTGCTTGTGCATCTCCTCCTCCAGCCTCAGGGCCCTCTCCCGGTACTCCAGCTGGCACCTCTCCAGCTCCTGCCGGTGCAGCTGCTGCTGCTGGGACAGCTCCTGCTTCTTGGCCTCCATGTCCTGCTGGTGCTGCTTCTCCAGGTCATCAGAGGCCAACTGGAGCGCCACATACTTCTCCTTGAGCTCAGCCAGCTGCTCCTGTGCTTCCTCCAGCTCTTTGGCCAAGTTGATGTCCTTGGATGACTTGTTCTTGAGGACCACCTGTGCCCTCACCTTGTACCGCTCGAACTCGTCCTTCAGCTGCTTCAGCTCCTGCTGGTAGTACGCAGCTGTGGCCTTCTCGCCATCCCCGGCCTCGAAGCCCCTGGGCAGCTCTGCCTCACAGAGCTTCTCCACGTCCACCACGCCTTGGCTCTTCCTGGCTGCTGCCTGCAGCAGCTTCTTCAGCTTCTCCATCTTATCTTTCAGGACATTCACATCCAGGTTGGCTTCCTCTGGGTGGATGTCCACGGGGGATCGGCTGGAGGCAGCGATGGCCAAGGTCTTGTTCTCCAGGTCCAGCTGCACGATGCGTTCCTTGAGCTTCTGGATGACCTGCTGATCCTTCTGCTTGGCCTTCTCATAGGTGCCGAGGAGCTCGGACACCTCGGACACTTGTCCCTCCAGGTTGGCCACGCGTCGCTCCTCCATCTGCGCGCGCTGCCGCAGCTGCTCCTCGGCCTGGGTTGTCTGGGACAGGGAGGGGCAGGGGGATCAGCACTGGAGGCAGGAGGGCGACACAGGGCTCACCCCAACCACCGTGGGATCTTCCCTTCCCTGGCAACCCTGCACAAGGCGCTGCCTTGGCTTTGGGAGCTCGGGGATTTAGAATGGTAGAATGGGTTGGAAGGACCTGAAATCCCATCCCATCCCACCCCCAGCCCTGGGCAGGGACACCTCCCACCAGCTCAGATTGCTCCCAGCCCCATCCAACCTGGCCTGGAACACTCCAGGGATGGAGCAGCCACAGCTGCTCTGGGCACCCTGTGCCAGGGCCTCACCTCTCGAAATCTGAGGGATCGGGATGGGGGATTTGGCTCCTCCAGCCCCAAACTTGCCCAAACCCCTGGATACACCTCATGGAGTGAGCTGCTCCCCCAGGACCATCATCCCATCAACCAAAGTGAGGGAGCTCTGGACTGTGAGGAAGGGAATTTTGCTCCTCCGGCCCCAGACCCTGTCCCAATCCCTGGAGCTGCTCCTCCAGGACCATCACTCCCTCAGTGCAAGCCAGAAAGATTTGAACTCTGAGGGACGAGATTTGGACTCTGGGATAGGGAACTCTGCTCCCCCAGCCCTGACCCCTGCCCGCCCAGCAATCACCTTCTTCATCTCCTGCAGGAGCTGCAGTTGGAAGTGGTTCTTCAGCTCAGCCATCTCATCCTGCAGCT